GGTAACATTGAGCGTTTACTTTTTATCTGATATCCGAACAACTGATGCATGTGTTTGATTAGTCAATAAGTGTCTCTTCCGTGTTTAATACAAGGCCAATACCGTGCCTGGAACTGCGTCGCTGCATACAATTATTTTAGATGACATTGTTACGGCCAGAAATCCCTTTAACTTGTAGCCAACAAAAGACACAAATCAAAGATTTATTATACACAAGTTTACAAGAAATATTATACAAATTGAAATGTTAACTTAACTGTTAAATTATATGTCCGGTCCTTTGTCATTTCTTTATCTGAAATTCTTCTCTTAACTGTACAGAATATGTCCAATCTAGTATGATGTAGTTAACGTAAATAAAGTGTCAATCCAACAACTCCAGAGAACGTCTGTGAATCCAAGTAAATGAATGTCTAAACAAGTCTAATTTCGGTATCTGTATATATAGTTGTCAAGGAAACTTCTAGACCACTGTAGAATGGAAACTCCTAGAAAACTTTAGAATGGAAACTTCTAGAATACGGTAGAAGTTTAAATTACACATCGTATATTATAATCATTCCAGAATTATTATGTAAGTCAAATAGAAAGTTCTAATCATTCCATCAGTATTTAAGTTTGTTACAGTGATTTCTAAACTGCACAATTATAACATTATTCTGTAAACAACTATAAATATGATGTAAACATATGATACATAGTATAAGGCCACACAAAACAAATTAGGCTAAGATAAATAAACATGATGATAATAGTATCATAACACCTCCCTCCTTAACTGGTTTACTCTCACCTTCATTAGTATGCTCAGAATATGGTTTTAACATATTAATATGACACACTCTATTTTGTTTGCGCCGACCTGGAGTTCTTACAATATAATTTAAATCATTGATTTTACTCTCTATTGTATAAGGATCACAGTATTTAGCCGATAAAGGATATTCAGGGACTGGCAAACATACAAGTACCTTATCACTAGGCTCAAAACATCTGTCCCTGGCATCTTTATCATACCATATTTTCATCTTATATGGAACAGTTTTTAAGTTTTTCTGAGCAATTTGACAAGCAGTATACATTTTTTCTTTAAATCTAGATACATAGTCTAGAAGATTCAAGTCAGTGTGTTCAGTTAGCCATTTTTCCTTAACCAATTTTAAAGGTCCCATTACAGTATGACAATATACTAACTCAAAGGAACTAAAACCAAGGGATTCTTGAACAGGCTCTCGGACCGCAAAAGGTAGAAAGTGAACACCATCATCCCAGTCTCTGTCAAATTGAAGACAAAAAGTTATAATCATGTTCTTCAATGTTTGATGAAAACGTTTTAAGGCACCTGGAGATTCTGGATGATAAGCACTTGACCTATAATGAGCAATCCCTAACTGGTAAACGACCTGCTGAAATAAACCCGACATGAAACTTGAACCCTGGTCGGACTGTAAAGATTTAGGAAGTCCTACTAACGTGAACAATTTTATAAGAGCTTTCACAATAGATGGTATCTTGATATTCCTTAACGGAATAGCCTCAGGAAAGCGAGTGGATGTACACATGATCGTCAATAAATACGCATTTCCAGTCTTTGTCTTTGATAAAGGTCCAACGAAATTAATCAATACTCGACTGAAAGGTTTTTCAAAGGCTGGAATTGGCAGAAGTGGTGCTGGTGGTATTTTATGATTAAGCTTGCCAACAACCTGGCATATATGGCATGATTTGCAGTATTGTGTGACATCATCCTTGAGTCTGGGTCAGTAGAAATGCTGCAAGATCTTAAGGCAAGTCTTCCTTATACCTAAATGTCCAGCCAAGGGGGTGTCATGGGAAAGACCAATAATTGCTTGCCTATACACTTTAGTCATCTCCACTTGGTATACCACTCTCCATTCTTCATCTGGGATAGCATCAGGGACCTCCATTTCCTCACTAAAATGCCGTCTTGATGGTAGAAGTATTTGGCCACTTTCTCTGCTTCCTCCTGTGGTTGAGCCCTCTTGCTGAGCTGAAGAACCTCAGGGTCTTTATTGTTTTCTTCCACCAATTTTCTTCTGGCTAATGAATGGCTGTTCACTTCAGGCCATTGCATAATTACATGTTTGTTAGTAATAGGTGGTCTTATCATGGCCTTTTCTGAGCCACAGGAACCGTCAATGTCGGCGAGGAAAGTGTCAGAAAGATACATATAATCATACTGGTCTTCTTGCAAATCCTCATTTTGTTATTTTCTTGCCAGCGCCCTAGTAACAACACAAGCTGGATACAGTTCAGCATCATCCTCGTGTGATGTAACACCCACAACCGGTTCACTGGTAACAATTGGTTCAGCAACCACTTTGTTCCTCGATAGATCTTTCCCAGCAATAAGGGAGATTAGGACGAACACCCACAGGTCCAGTAATTAAATCTGACTTCAGATAAATACGTTGGAGAGGAACATCTATACAACCTAACTCCCACCCCTGTAACAAAACGGAGGCACCAATAGAAGTCTCCTCGGACAAAGGCAGCACACCTTCTAATAACAAAGGCTGAGAAGCTCCAGTGTTCCATAACATTTTAATGGGATGAGGAGTAGTATTATCAACAAAAGAAATAAACCCATCAGACATAAAGGGTTTACAATTCTCCATGTAATCACAAAAACTGGACTTAAAAGCCTGACTAGCAGAACATTATAACTTATAGGTAACAAAGGGTGTCTTACAAGCACTGGATTTGGGTTTATTATCTCTTTCATTCTTCTTCTAGAGTTTAAAACAATCAGCTATCAAGTGACCATTTTTCTTACAATAAGCACAAGTTGTGACTTCTTCTCAAAAGTATAACATTTTGGACTAGACATATTATTACTGAATTGACCCTTATTCTGTGCAAAAGGCTTATTATCAGTACGCTCAGTACTATGATTTTTGTAATTTCCGCTCGAAGTATTAAAATTTTGACCTTTGAAATTTCTTGTATGTGAAAGGGTATAATTATCGGAAATAACAGCGGCATCTTGTAATGTCTCAACAGTTTTGTCATCTAAATGTGTTTTAAGTCTTTATGAACACACAGCTTGAACTCTTCAAATAACATCAATTGTCTTATATTATCAAAATTGTTATCTATTTTCTTTGACGTAAGCCATTTCTCAAATACATCTTCTTTTTCCCTAGCAAATTCAACATAGGTTTGTGAATCAAACTTTTGATAAGACCTAAATTTCTGTCTATATGCTTCTGGCACTAGCTTATTAGCTTTCAAAACTTCCTGTTTTACAGTGTCATAATCAGAACTTTTTTTCTGATGAAAGTGAGGAGTAAATTTTAGCAGCCTTGCCCTCACAAAACATTTTGCAGCATTGTAGTCCAATAAGGCTTTGAGCAATTTTCCCAAATTGTGGAAAATATTTATCAACTGTTTTTTTTTTCACAAAATCTGGGAACCAAACGTATATTTTTTGCTGCATCAACATATTCTGATTTTGACTCTTCATTAGTGTTGCTTTCACTTTGATCATTTCAATTTTTATTTTCTCCATATCTAACCTTAACCTAATTTTAAGTTATAGCTGTTTTAATTTAAATTCATCTTTTTCTTTTTCCAATTGTTGTATTTTAACTTCGTTTTCCATTTTTTCCCCAATTGTTTTAATTTGAAATCATGTTCTAATGCAAGCTGTTTTAATCTAAAAGCATCAACATTTTGTACCTCAAGTACAAGAACCTCTTCATCTAGAATTTCAGCGTCAACTTATTTTCTATTACCAAATTTTGATTCTCATGGATACTGTAAAATCAATTTTTAGATGTTTAGAAAGCCACATTAATTCCTCTTTCTTTAAGTCATCAAACCTTTACATGTCTGGCGTCTTCAAAAATTTACCGGCATCAAATGCCATTTTGTAGAATTGTGTTGGCTAATTCTAATTCTATAAATACAGAAAATCTGATATTAACATTTTCCCGGATGAGTCCCCAATTTCGGATACGGCCAGAAATCACCTTTAACTTGTAGCCAACAAAAGACACAAATCAATAATAAAATTTAACAAGATTTATTATACACAAGTTTACAAGAAACATTATACAAATTGAAATGTTAACTTAACTGTTATATTATATGCCCGATCCTTTGTCTTTTCTTTATCCGGAATTCTTCTCTAAACTGTACGGAATATGACCAATCTAGTATGATGTAGTTAAGGTGAATACAGTGTCAATACAACATCTTCAGAGAACTTCTGTGAATCCAAGTAAAATAATGTCTAAAAAAGTCTAATTTCGGTATCTGTATATGTAGTTGTCACGGAAACTTCTAGAACACTGTAGAACGGAAAGTCCTAGAATACGGTAGAAGTTTAAATTACACATCGTATATTATGATCATTTCAGAATTATTCCATCAGTATCTATGATTGTTCCATTGATTTCTAAACTGCACAATTATAACATTATTTTGTAAACAACTATGAATATGATATAAGCATATTATACATATTATAAGGCCACACAAAACAAAGTAGGCCAAGATAAATAAACATGATAATAACAATATCATAACAACACTGAAACATAACTAATCATTTCTTTCAATCAAGCCAAGTAAACTTTTACGAACATTTTCCTTGTACAATCAGAGTTGTAATATTTTGAACTTTTGGCAAACAGAAAGTCGCCACAACTCAACATTATCAAGCTGCACACCAAATATGAAATAATTCCCTTTCAACGAAGCCCTGGAAACTTTGACGAAAGTTTTTTATCAAAAGCATGACGATGTGGGCGAAACAGGTAAAACACATTCTAGTCAAACCAGATGCAAATTTATTTCATGATTTCGAAAGACTACACTTTTAAATATAATCATAACTTTTGATAAAACAAGAAAAAATAACATTCATGTACATTTTACAGAAATATGTAAAGTAGTCTCGCGCGTTAAATATAATACAATTTCAATCTACATGTTTACTAGTTTAAATGCAGAAACAACGTATAAATCAGATATATGTATGATAATTGAATTCACATAAAGAAATACATTGTAGGGTTATAGACATAATGTGTACAATTTGAATAATACACATGATTGGTAAGAAGTGTAGCTAATTATTTTGAATTTGATATAATACTCAGTCACGAGAGAGCATTTAATAATTATTTGACATAAGAAAATATCAAAGTATGAATGATTCGTGTGATGCAACACGTACAATATACTTATTTTGTGGTTAAAACAGATTTTAGGAAAAACATTGTAAAGTTTCTATTTTGATGTATCAGAATCATATATATTTTAAACATAAAACGTACATGCAAATTAAACAAAGACACATTATATTCAGATTATTTAATATTGTTTTTGCATCGGAAGGAAGTGTTTTCTATCATTTCTGTGTTTCGCTAATGTTTATTACTGGCTGTCACTGTTGTCTTATGAATTTCATCCGTCTGAAGAAATAAATACAATGGTTGTTTTTGTTTAACTTAAAACTATACATCATACATGTTTACAAGTGGTGATATAAATTTGTGATATCTGCTTACTGGGTGCAATTTGTTTATTTTTAAAACGCATTGAAAATTAACACTTAGTTCGTCAACGATGTATGTGAAGGTTTGCTTAAATGTTCGCAGTTTTGTTGTCCATTACATTAACTTCCATATTTTTAGTTTTTAGATAACAAACTAGTCTATCGCTGTGTTGAAGACCCATTCGTGGCCTTGGGCTGTTTTTTGCTCTTACGTCGGGTTGTTGTCTCTTTGACAAATTCTTCATTTCCATTCTCATTTTTATAATATACTGAACAACTCCTTAAGGACTGTTATTGGTTCATTTGTTTGATCTTGTATTTGGGCACGATTTAACGCAATAAATAGTGTGGACTGATGTTGTTTACGTTCAGTTTTAAGGAACAACAGTCATACAAGTCGTGTTAATATTTCAACAAGAACTGCATTTACTCATGGTAAAAGTGTACTATTGATCCTCTATTAACAAACAGTACATGCTAGCTCTGTTTTTGATAAATATATATAGTCACTTTATTTGTTGAAATTATCTGTATATGATGAGTATGTATCCGGTCTATAAGAGTAAGAAAAATGCCATTTTGTGCATATCCTTGTCGATCAGCTAGTAATTAGATGTATTGTACTTTTTTCATGTAAATTTTAAGTATGAAACAAATTAATTGAAAATAAACATGTTATTCTACGTGTATAGCTATAAGTGATACAATTTTGTATAATCATTATATGTACTTCTTTTGATGACTAATCAAGGTTGGCAAAAAAGCGGTCAAAACTAGTATTGACCTGACCTGGCAAATACTGGTCAATACTGGCAAATACTGGTCAATTGAGATTTTGATAAGATATTACTATTAAATACAGTCCCTACCTGGTCAACTACAGGGTAAATGGACAAATATATTCACAGGACAGAAAGTCACTTATTTACTACATTGTAAAGGACAAAAACTCACAATTAATTAGTTAACAAGTTTTTGAATATGTAAGGGAAAATCCTTGAAATAAATTCATTGTAATGTTTATGAGGTTGATAATGAACATGGTTAAATGAAGATTTATTAAATATTAATCCTACAAAGGATATTTCTTGGTACCATGAAGCCAGTCAAGAAAAAGACTATGACAGCTTGTTTTCTTAATCAAAGAAACAGTTCTTTCAAAATTGCATTGTGACTTTCTGTCCTGTGATATTTAGCCCTACATTCAATAACTGTTAGTCATGAAAATATGAAAGTTTTCAAGTCAAAATTAGACTTTTTTAATGATATGTTTTCTTATATAAATTGAAATTTTACATGAACACATCATGGACAGTGATTATTAGAATAAAATTAAAGAAAAAGAAAAACAGCAGCCAAAGTATAGATCCTTCAAAATTTCCATTTTCTGTATTTAGTTTTAGAAGATATTTATCATGCAGTTGAATAGTCAGGAATAGAATAATTGTTTTAAACAGTCTTCAAAAATAACTTTTATGACTTTTTTCCTGTTATGTCAACATTTATTAGGAGACAGTTGTAATATTGAATAAACTTTTGACACCTGCTTGCCATATAATAGGTAATGCCCTGATAATCTAGTCACCTGTAATAATATTTACCTGTTAAAATCGGTAAACGGACAGAAAGTCACAGGACATAAAATCACAAATTTGATAGGACAAAAAGTCACAGGACAAAAAGTCACAAGTAATTTGTTGACAATTGTTTGAATATATAAGAGAAAGATCTTGAAATATTTTCTTTTTATTACATATATTCATTTTTAAGTTTAGGAAATTGTTCATAAGCCTTGATAAATGACAATTTATTAAATTTTAATCATGCAAAGGATATATTTCTTGGCACATTGAAGCCATTTAAGTACCAAGCCACTTTGACATTTTGTTTTCATAACAATTATTTGATCATTATTGATATTTATTGAATAAATTTTAATTACAAAGTTGCTTCATATATAATAGTTCAAGAAAAAACAAAACAAATATTTTTTAAATTAGTGTTTCCTTGTTAAAAGAAAAATAATCTCAAAACTGAATTGTGACTTTTTGTCCTGTGACTTTTTGTCCGTGACTTTTTGTCTGTGACTTTTTGTCCTGTGACTTTCTGTCCTACATTCTTAAAATCAAACCTTTTCAAGAAAAATATATATATATATATGTTATACATGTTGAAATAACTGATATAGCAATTTTATATCCATACTTAAACTATGTTATATCATTACCCATAAGAACTGAATGAGTCATAAGTCATGCCAATAGTTGATAAAACATACCAATATCAATCCTTTTTATAAACTGAATCATGCCATGAATAAAGTTAAAATAATTTCCCCTATCAACTAAGATTTAACGAACATTGATAGTAAAATATGTCAAAAGAACCATGCAAATTTCAATTGTCCAGTATTTGACAGTAATGACCACTTGAGGAGTATTGACCGAGGCGGTAATTACCGGTTAATACCACTGGTAAATACCGGGGGTGGTATTTACCGCCCAACCTTGTGACTAATGCATATAATTTACATCCGCGCCATCGAAGAAAAATATAAATAGTAAGCTTTATCTTCAATACTTACTCTCCACAGGTACAGCTACAATGAGAACATATTATATCATCGTCGGACTTTTGTCAAAATGTATTTACCTATCGGACCTAACAGTGTAAGTTCTATAGTTTGAAGTGGTTCACGTATTGTCATTGTAGGAATTTTTTTAGCTTACATAATATACGGGATTTGTATTTCTCACTATTGGAAAAGCCCTTAATGTGACTTATTGCAACTACCATCAACATAATTTACTCTATATTGAGTAGCTGTCTCATTGTCAATTCTACCACATGTTGTTATGCGTATCCTATTGGCTAATAGATTAATGACTGCACACAAAATTTATCAAATTAAAATATTAAAGTGTATTTGATTATTTTTATAAGCAAAGTAACAGTGTTATTTATGCATCTTGATAACAATTTTCCAACATTGCAACTATCACCTTTTTCCACTTTTATAAGAAGACTGCCATTTGTCATATGATTCTAATGACAACAAATGCTCAAAGTTTTTAGTTTTAGTTTTCGATTTGGTACTTGACAGTTACCGACTAAAGTTAAATAATACATATATTTGAAATAGTAATGGTATGATATATATATATATTAAATAACACAAAGGACAACGCATGTTTTTTGTTTAGTAATTGTAGAACTATGTTTTAAAAACAGACGTCATACATTTATTATTAATCGGAAACAACTTTAAATGGCGAAGATTAATCAAATAACCAGGAATTCTGGTTAACAGCATATTGGGAATTGATACATTGCTTGGACATATAGATATATAACATGAAAGGAATAATGAGAAAGAAGATACAAGATAAAAAAAAATATTGCTACAATTGAGACATATTGTCACCTTATTTGCAAAAATACGGACATATTACACATATACTTTGAATACCGTTACGCAATAAGATCATTCCGCGTGTTGCAACCTGCATAATTAAGTACAATATTCAAGTGTCAAAGACTATTTTCATGTTATAAATTGTGATATAATTGTAAACTATGATTATCTGTTTGAAGCTATTCCCTTACCGACTGCAAAAAATATAAAATCAAGTAAATAAGCCACCGTAGTATAAGTGTTTTAGAAGCAACCGTAGTATGAGTAGTAAAGTGATAGTAGAACTGACAGCTTTTTGTTGAATGTTATAGTCAGTAATCATGTCAAAAATCAAAATTTTGTGTTTGTAATATTTTATAATAACAAACATATAATGTGTTCTGAAGCACTGGTTGAACTTCAGTCTTCTATTGCCTGTTGTGTCTTAATGTCATAACAAATAACACATGCAGTTGTAAAAATATGTTTGTTCATTTATCAATTAAAAAATATAAAACTTCCATACGTGAGTGAAAATTAGTTAATTGTGCAAATAAAATGTTACAAAACTTTCAAACATTGTCTGTTTACAGAACCATGTACAACATTATAAACCTGATCTGTTCAATAAGTTTCTATATGTTTTACAGAATACTCTGTTACTGCTGGCAGTGTACCTGTCAGGTCATTAAGTCGTAATGATTTACCTATACAACGTTTAAATCAATTTGGAAGCATTTTGTCCAAATAAAATTATTAATCTGTTTGTTTCAGTATATCATTCGTTGGGTTAAAGACATTCATAACGTTTAGATTTGTTAAAATAATAAATACTACATTAACAATATTCACGAAAGTATTTAATACCTGAAATATTTTTTTTATAATACTAGAGAAAAAACAAGGTGTTGTTAAAAATATTTATAAACAATAATACGAATTGCATTGTCTATTTGTTCACGTTTGAATTTAGACTACTTAGCATTTCATTTAAAAATTACTGATCTAAATATCGCATTGCTTTTAATATACGAATGGGTTTTGTTACCTCTATATAATTGTGTCTTTATTGATTTGAACTGGTTTTAAATAGTCCAACTTCAATAAAAGCACCATACACAACATTCACTATCTATTATTCTTTCATTCTTCATTTTTTTTTTGTAAAATAATTGCAATATACTTATCTTTTATGGTACAGAATACATACATTGGACTGAAAAATAAAAAAAATAAAATAAAAAAAAGTTTAAAATGAGGAATAATTTGAGACAATCACGATACAGCAAATACTCATCTCAAAAACACCAGTTTATAAATTTTACTGAATATTTTCAGCATATTGTTTTGAGGTTTTTGGTTTTCTTAACTAGAAACTGTGTTTTCCTGAATGTGGAAGCTATTAAAACGAAGTATAGATATCAAAAATGACAAACCAAGTGGAGAACACGAATATCTATATCCCAAAAAATAGTTGTAAAGTCATTATCTTCTCTTTTAGAGTGTATAAGAATCACGATGGAATCAATTTTGTCTATGGGTGTTTTGTATCTATGGTGTTCAGTAGTAAATTATATACCAATCATAGTACAACAAAAACTTAAAATGTATATTATGAAAATACTAGCATATTGATAAAGTGATGTTCTTTTGATGATCGTCTATTGATGAGTAGTTACTGCATACTCAGGAGTATGTAGCACAACATTTTATTTTTTGAAGAAAAAAACAATTAAAGGATAGGTATAATTAAAAAGAACAAACAAGACTAAACATAAAGTCACAAATTGGACATCAGTTAAATTCTGTCTCCCTAATACAAACATAAGGACATACCCAGATGTGACACTAAGAAATATTTGGATATTTTCACGTCATTAGCATATTTAGTGCTGCATAAATAATCACATGATTCAAGCTTTATAAAATTCCATTAGGGTTGTTTTTAAGAAAAGCAGATAATAGTGTTAAGATGGTATGTTTATTGTTTTACTTTACTACACAAAGTTCACCATTATATAAATCTTCTTATATTATAAATTGTAAATATAATTGTACGTTATACTTATCTGTTTGCTACTTGACACTTACCAGCTGAAAAATTCAAATAAATATTTATAGAATACAGCATACCATTTGACAATAAGTTATTACAATGATAATTGAATTAATTAAATTTGCAGTAAAGTGATAGAATAACATTTCGAGATGACAGCATGGTCCGTCAGATTATTCAATTAGTCATTAGTCATGCCAAATATTGAAATGTGATATTTGTACGATTTCAAAATATCGCTTTATAAATTTAAAAATAATTAAGAAACTTAGGTTTTAACACTATCAAGTAATGTTGACGTTAAGTTGATATAATCATTTTCGTGTATGTTCTCTATGGTCATATACTTGAACTATGTTGATTGTTTTACGTCCTTTGATTTAAACATTTCTGCTTTGAGCGTTTCCCGTTAAGGTACATTTAGAAAACAGCACATGAAATCAATCCCGGTATTTTGTTGTGTGTATACTGTTTTTTGTCGTTTTGTCTGTTGAGATTATGCCATGGCGTTGTCAGTTTATGTTCGACTAATTAGTTTGATTAGAGCTGCGTCGGATAGAAATCGACCTTATGCAAGTGCACGTATACATGAATATGTATAAGATTTTGATTGATTTTGGAAAATAAAACTCAAAATAAAAGACGAATTTTGGTCTGTTTTGATTTTCTTATAACAGCTAAATTTTCAGAATTTCCATAGAGAATTTTTCAACCTAAAATAGGTTAACAGATGTATTGATATTCATTTGCATAAAGTTGATTTCTATCCGTCGCAGCTCAATATCTGTTTGGTATTTCCGCCTCTTTTGTAGACGGAACGCACGTGTATCACACATCATTGTCATGGTATGTTTATTGGTTTACTTTTATTTCTACTAACACCATTGTATAAATGTCGTTATATTATGAATTGCATAGATAATGTTACGCTAAACTTCTCTGTTTGCTACTTGACATTACATGCTGAAAAATTCAAACAAATATACATAGAATACAGCATACCGATCAGCAATGAATTATAGAAACGATTGATTGATTGATTGTTGGTTGCTTAACGTCTGGTGGCAAATATATTATGCATATTCAGGACGAGAACAAGTTCAAAATAAATACAATAGGTAGGTTCTGTAATAGATTAAGGGATTAAGGTGGGAGAAATTTAGACTGCCACGGGAAAGGAGGGTATATTGGATAGGGACAGAAATTTTGCCTTGCAACAGGTCACCTGCGGACCCCTCAAAGAGTTGTTGCAAGGGTTCTTAACGTGCAAAGAGCGTGGCACTCTCTTTACACGAGGCATCGGATTTAACGTCTCCATTCTGACCAGACGTGGCTGCAAATGTGTACATCCCGCACAGCCAAACGGACGCCCCACTTTGGCAAGGGTTTTACTTCCGGTCGGAGGAAGACCAATGGTGACCATACTTCTATTCCCCAGTCACCCTTGGGGGAGAGTATAGAAACGACAATGAAACTAATTGAATAAGTAGTAAAGAGAACATGTTAAGATGACAGCTTGTTCTGTGAGATTATTGAATTAGTATTGTCACTAATCATGCCAAATATTGAAATGTGATATTTATATGATTATAAAATTTCGACTAATAGATTTAGAAATCATTACAAAACTTCGGTTTCAACACATACTAAAGTTAACCTTAGGTTGATTTTACCAGTTTTGTTTATATAAACAAAATGAGATATGGTATGATTGCCAATCCACCAAAATTCAAATGAAGTGAATGTGAGCAATTATAGGCCACCGTACAGCCTTCAACAATGAGAAAAACCCATACCGTATTGTCGGCTATAATATGAACAATATGAAACAATTCAATGGAGAAAACTAACTGCTAATTTATAACAAAACAATTTACGAAAAACAAATATAACAGACATGAACCAACGACAACTACTGAACTACAGGTTCTCTATGTCTATCATCTGTTTAGGTTATCATAAATCCATGGCTTTAAACATTTCTGGTTTGAACGCTTTCCATGAAGGTAAATCATCACCAATTGTTGCTACATATACATCCCAGAAAATCATTGAGTCTCCAAGAGTTAACATCACTGATGCTATACCTTTAGTTCCCATTTGCTTCCCTGTTTCGGCAACAACTAGATTTGTAGTGCTCGTTTCCACTTTAAGTTGCCTGTTATGAAAGGCTTTTCAGTGTGATTTATCATAGTTGATGACAGTTCTTCT